AGGATGACGGCTCCGGGCTCGCCTGTCCACACCCCCACAAACACTCAGCTGACACACACTGCCTTCGCTCGCCAGGTTTTTCCAGGAACTGCGGAAAAAGAGTGAGTGGCTGGTAGTGGGTGTCGTCTGTATTTTATTTGCATCCGCACTGAGTCTGCTTTCTGTGGTTGCGGTACAGACATCAATAGGAAGAAAAGCATGAATATGGTAATGAGAGAAGTTGTGTTTCAGGTCCAAACGACCCAGATGAAGATTCACATGACCCTTCTTTAAGATGTTCTCTATTCTTTTTAGAAGTGTTTACACCTGATGCTCAGGGGAGTCTGGTAAATTATGTAACTCTAGAAAAGTGAACAAAAGAGAAATACTGTATGAGGCCTTTTTGAATATTAAAACAAATAAAACTATTTATGTTGCGCTTTTTTCCACTTTTGAAGAATTTATTTTGCATGTCTCTTATGCTCACTAAGGTTGTATTTATTTGATCAAAATACAATACAAAATGGAATTATCCTGAAATATTACTACAATTTCAAATAACAATTTTCTAATATTAATATCTTGTCAAATGTAATTTATTCCTGTGATGGTAAAGCGGAATTTCAGTAGCCATTACTCCAGTCTTGAGCATCAAATGATCCTTCAGAAATAATTATAATATGCTGATTTGCTGCTAAGATACTTTTTTCCTATTAATATTACATTTACATTTACATTTAGTCATTTAGCAGACGCTTTTATCCAAAGCGACTTACAAATGAGGACAATAAAAGGCATTTTGGATTAATTTTAGAGGTTTGATAGAAGTGGCTGGAAGACTTGCCAAGAGAGCATTGAAATATGACTGTTGAAAACGGCTATGTCACTTTTATCAGTATTTTTTGATAAATAGAAAGTTCAAAACAGCATTTATTTGAAATAGAAATCTTTTTCAAGACTGTAAATGTATTTACTGTCAATTTTGATCAGTTGAATGCATCCTTGCTTTTAAGATATTAATTTCTTTATATATATATATAGTTTTGAATATATATACAGTATGTATATGTATATATATATATATATATATATATATGTGTGTGTGTGTGTGTGTGTGTGTTTATATAAAGTATATGATATAATATATACATATAAATATAAGATATAAAACTCACACTTTAACACTCTTTCCTCCACTTTCATCCAATCAAATTTAAATAATACAATATATAATTTCTCAGACAGCTTCAGACAGCTGCTTGATGAGGAAAGTCCTATTCTCTAGCCACCCACTAAGACAGCTCAAAGACGGCCAAATCTGTTTTCATCTCCCAGCATCACGATCTGTCATGTTAATATAACGCATATGAAGGTTATCAGCTTAATTAAATATCCACAAAAGAACTGATGGACGTAAAATACAGATGTAACAATACACACACACACACACATTATGCAAAAAGACAATTTTGTAGTTGGTGCATGAAAGTAAAATTAGCATAAGTTTACATAAAAATCTGTATGTCTATATTATAATTTTTACTTAAAATTAAAACCTTTTACAAATCTCATATCAGTTAAACAAGCTGCATTTAGTTGCGTACCATTATATGTTTTTATTTTTATTTTATTATTTATTATTGTTTTCTTTTTCTAACTGGCTATCTGTAAGATTTCACACAATGAAAAGTCTTATTTTCCTTATAGGAATTGCTCACCCCAAAATGAAAATTTGCTGAAAATGTATTCAACCTCAGGCCATCCAAAACGAGTTTGTTTCTTCATTGGAGCAGACTTGAAGAAATTTAGCATTACATCACTTGCTCACTAATCAATCCAGTGATGGGTGCCATCAGAATGAGAGTTCAAACAGCTGATAAAAACATCACAATAATCCACAAGTAATCCACAGGACTCCAGTCCATCAATTATCCATAATAACACTTATTCCAGTGAAAAAGTCAATGACCTGTTGTCCTCGCACATCAAAATCCATCAAAATATTTGTTTAAAACTGTTTTCACGAGACTAGCATATTCTCACCGGAGCTTACGTTATGCCTACGTCATCTGCTGGAACACCACTCTGTCGTGTACGCGCGTACAACAGTTAGCGGAAGCTAGAGTATATGGTTTATAAAGTTTTAAATATGGATATTTTTCTTACACAAATGCATCGATTTGCTTCAAAAAGCACCCGGAGCCATGTGGAGTACTTTTTCTGATGGATGGATGCACTTTATTGGACTTCAAAATCTCGACCCCCATTCACTGCCATTATAAAGCTTGGAAGCGTCATTACATTTTTTAATATAACTCCAATTGTATTCATCTGAAAGAAGAAAGTCATATACACTTAGGATGGCTTGAGGGTGAGTAAATCATGAGGTAATTTTATTTTTGGTTGAACTATCCCTTTAATGAAGGATTTGTTTATTATAGACACACAGCTTTTAACTTTTCACAAGACGTTAATTATAATGGACTGGAGTCACGTGGATTACTTGTGGATTATTGTGATGGTTTTATCAGCTTGGACTCTCATTCTGATGGCGCCTATTCTCTGCAGATGATCCATTAGTGAGAAAGCAATGTAATCCTAAATTTCCAAATCTGTTCAGAAGAAGGAACAAACTCATCTACATCTTGAACGCACTCTAAAAAATATTCAGGGGACCTGTTACCACAACTTAAATAAATGCGTGGTTGCAAGTTAAAAATTCTAATTTAATAATTTAATTAAACCTTTTAAGTTGCAAACATTATTTTGTTGAGTTCAGTTGACATAATAATGTTGATCATTACATTAACTTAATAATGTGCGTAATTTAAACACAAATTTCTGTGTTAATTGAATTTTTTTTTTTAATTAAAGCAGCACTATGTAACTTTTTCTGTGTACAAAATTTGCAAAATGTATATAATGAGCAAGTACATCATGAATTCATCTTCCAAACCGCGTTTTTGTCTTATTCCGAATCACTACG